TTCCAATCATCTGGCACCTGGCCTGAGCACCACGAGCACTCGTAAAGCCGTGCCAAGGGCCCTGCAATAACCCCTGCTAGCTCCCTCAACACCCTGGGGTGGAGAACATCTGGACCTGCTGATCTGAACACATCCAGCACCTCCAGAAGCTCTCTAACCCGGTCCTCCCCAGTGTTTTAACACTGGATTTTGCATGGGCCCAAATAATGAGGCACTTAATACCCTCAACTCTCATTACTCTTGTGGCAGCAAAGGAACTTGCATTTCAAAGAACAAGGCCTTTATGTAATTCTTGATAGTGAAAATGACCAGAGAGTTTGTTTTTGTGTTGTTTGTTTCAGTTTATAAACCTAAATTATACAGTAAACCCCGCAAAGGGTTTCTATACCAGTTAACATTATAACACTATAGCATCAATCACTGACTGGTTGTTCAGCTCCATTGACTTAACATTAAAGATCATGTCAAAACATTTTACCTGACAGACATATTTGTTCTTCCATTTGCTCAGCACACACTGACTGTTTTGCATCAACTCCTGAAGGACAACAGAAAAGAGAGAGAGTGGAGTTGGCTGTACACATTGTCACTAGTGGTTAAAGTGCTTCTGATTTTCAAGCATGAGAGATTAGCATGCCACACAAACAAAGATGCAACTGTTTTGGAACAGCCCACTGGACAAAAGCACATTTGTCATCACAAGAAGGGCTGATCCTTTATGAAAATTAAAGCTGTTGAAAGGGGATTCAAAACCGGATTATTTCTTGCCATACTCTAAACTTTCTGAAAGGTACCTCCAGCTCCTTGAGGGTATCTCGTAGTTTTTCTGGACGTTTGTTTTTAAGTATCCAAGGATAATCTCGAGCTAGCAAATAATAAAAAAATTAAAAAACAGTCAAAAACTAAATTTTAACAGTTTTTTTAATTTAATTTTGGTGTAGAGGAATGTCAACAAGATTTACTGGAATGATCTTAAACATACACTTTATACAGAAATGCATTTATAATTGGAGGGAAGCAGGTATAGATTCCACTGTCAAATGATATCCTTTTGAAAGGCTCTGTCATAGAAACAGAGAGCATAAAATACCTTCACCTACCATGATTTCACCATGGCAATCAGGGATAAAGCTTTCAAGGAAGAATATCCTATCCAGCTGCTAAACATTTGCCATGGGAAAGTCTCCCAAGTGCAGTATGTGCAACTCAGAGAGATGCAAGTGATCAACTCTTTCCTGATTCATCCTAGACAGCTACTATTACATTGAATTAACATTAACAGCAACATTTTCAAAAGCAGATACTAATTTGTGTCTGCAAAATATGCATGCATGAATGTTTACAGGTAATTGTGCAGTGTATTACTTATAGGAGCAATTTAAGCATTTATTACAGAAAATATTGTCCTAAGAGCGTGACCAACCAAGCCTAGCCAAAAAGAAAATACAAAAAAGTGCAGATCAGCACCTATGACTGTTTAGATCACTCACAGGGAAGTCCTGGATACTCATACATCTCTAAAAATCTCACTAATTGGATTTAGTTGCCAAACTTCCAACAAACAATTTTGAAAATGTTGGCTTAAGACATTAACCCTGTAGTCTTTAGCTATGCAAAGCTCCCTGTGGAGTCAAAGCCAATTTGCTTGTTTCCTGGCTAACGACTGGGTTCTAATAATTTATGAAATGTCATTATTTAAAAGTGAGCAAATGTTCCCCATGAGTATATAATAAAAACATGTGAAGTTGAAAAACCTTTATGTCTAAACTATTTAAATGAAACTTGATTGAAACTTTCATTCTTTGAACTGTCAGTTTGCATGTCAGCTTTCAGACCAAATGACTTAGTACAGTCAAGTTTACAGAAAAGGGCTTAAAATAGAAATGTTAGAAAAATCCTTCACCTGTGTACTATGCATATAATTTTAAACAAAAAAAGCACACAAACATATAACTTTCCTTTGTAATCTACTGGACCAAAGCCAGTGTCAATTGAACTCTTATAACAACACTAATTAGGCACATAAGATCACATTTTCAATAAGCTCCTTCATATAAGCAAACAACTTATCTAAATATGCAAAAAATACGAACTTACTCATACAAATACCAGATTAGCATTTATGAACAAAATGACCCTGTGTACCCATTAAAAAACTTTTATATCGAATTTTGTAGGGTGATCCTAATGTTAGAACAGAACTGTTACAGTTGGGCTGTGCGCTGATAAGTTTAGTAAGACTTGGTGAGGGAAGAATATTATTATCTTACCACAGAACAGTAGTGGATGCATGTAGTCCATCATAGTAACTACATCAACAAGGCATGGTAGCTTGTGCTTCCGTTCAACATCACATATTAGGAATGGAGTTGGCGGGTGCGTCAGTGCATTCAATATTTACTAAATCTGCTCTGTCCACAACCCACCCTTCTCTCGAAAAGTCTATGTAGAACAATGTTCCACAATAAACAAGAGATGTAAACATCTTATAAGGATCCTTAAATTTTGGGCCCTGCCAACAGCACAACTATATTAGCTCTGCTGAAACAAGAGCTGTCCATGCATATTGAGAATTAGGTTGCAAGAAGATATGAAGTTCTGGGGCAAATTCTATCTCTAATCACACATACATGCAACTCCAAGTGAATTAATGAGAACGGGAGTTCAGTATAAGTATTTGAAACAAGAATTTGGCTATAATATTAATTCCAATATGATGAGACAGAATGTTAAAAGAAAGGAAAGGAACAGTTCATCAAAAGCAATTATATTTCTCATAGCTTTTATGTAATATGTTATGTGATATATGTAATATGTGTTTTGTATTATGCAATACAGGATATGTATGTAATATGTAATGTATGTTATATGTTTTATCATTTGTATCCATATATGTGTGTACGCATATATATACACACACATATGTGCGTGTGTATAAAAAAATCTAAAATATAGTATTATTAGTGACTCTGCAGTCATTACAAAACTCAGGATGGGAGAAGATTTTATTTAACTTTGTTTTGCAACAGAATAAATTAAAATACTATAACCATTTATATCCAGAAGTAAAAATGTTCCATAGATGTAGCTGATTTTTAACATTTATTTTATTTCCATTGAAGGTCTGTGTTAGAAATGTGTGAAGAGTTGAAATTCACTAATTTAAGTGTTTCCTAATAAACTGCAGACAAAATTTGATATGAAGATTCATAGATTGTAAAGGGCTGGATGGGACCTTGCAGGATCATCAGGTCCAGCCCCCCTGCATTAGGCAGGAAAGACAATGGGGCTCAGGTGACCCCAGCGAGGTGACCACCCATCTCCTCTTGAAGATTTCCAGGGTAGGTGATTGCACCACCTCTGGAGGGAGCTTATTCCATAGTCTGGACACCCTGACTGTGAAGAAGTTTTTCCTAGAGTTAAGCCTGAAATGGTCTTCCAGGAGTTTGTGGCCATTACTCCTGGTTTTCCCCAAGGGTGTCCTGGTAAACAGTTGTTCACTGAGCCCTTGATGTATTCCCCTGATGTAGTGGTAAGCTGCTACCAAGTCCCGTCTCAGCCTTCTCTTTTTTAGGCTGAAGAGGCCCAAGTCCCTCAGCCTTTCCTCATATGGCTTGCCTTGCAAGTATCTGATCAAATGAGTGGCTCTTCTTTGGAGTCTCTCAAGCTTTTCCACATCCTTGTTGAAATACAGCACCCAGGACTGGACACAGTACTCCAGCTGCAGTCGCACCAATGCTGAGCAAAGTGGAAGAATCACTTCCTTGGTTTTTCTTGAGATGTACTGGTTGATACATGCCAAAGTATTGTTTGCTCTGCTGGCTACAGCATCGCACTCATGGCTCATGTTCATACTATGGTCTATTATTACCCCTAGGTCCCTTTCAGTCACGGTGCTAGTCAGTTTGGCACCATCGAGCCTATAAGTATGTTGGAGATTGTTCGTCCCCATATGGAGCACTTTACACTTTTAAATGTTGAACTTCATCTGGTTCTGATCTGTCCAACCTACCAGCCTGTCTAGGTCTGCCTATATCTGCAGCCTATCTTCAAGTGTAACCATGCTCCCCCATAACTTGGTGTCATCTGCAAACTTGGCCAATTTGCTCTTCACCCCCACATCAAAATCATTGATAAAGATGTTGAAGAGTTCTGGGTTAAGTTTATTTTTGTGTTTTCTTTTGGCAAGGGAAATTAGAAGGAATGTGGACTAATATGATCACTGACATAAAAAATCTATATACATAAGAAAGAATTAGTTATAACTTTTTTATTGTTTTATGTTCTATAGTTCTATGATGGTCCATCTCCTACTGTATGGTATGTGCAGAAAATTGAGTTTGAAGCCAAGGGGTTATTTTAACATTTTGACAGGGGCATCAGCAATTAAAAACAATGCAGTTTTACAACAAGGAAGTCAGAAACTGCCCTTACATTCCATGAGCTGTTGCTTCTCTTCTAAGTAACCATACTTCATTTGTGATACTAAAATAAAAAAGAATGAAAAGATTAATGATAATCCTCACAACTGCTGTCAGCAAATATTAATACATTAGAGAGAAGATTCATACATTTTGATAAAACACAGAAATTTGCACAAAATTAAAATGGACCTGATGTTTTCACCTCATAGTCAGATATCTTAAATTTGCAGTGAAAGAAAGGCTTATGCAGCCCAACAGGTGGGCCAATATTACTGAGCCTCCAATCTGATCAGATAGTGAAGTGAGCTGCAACTGAATCCAGACCAGAAGCTGAGTCAGTCTGTCATCAGAATCATGGAGACAGCATATTAACCACCAAGCTAAGTACATGGGATGCCCACACAAGCCTCCACTTTAACCTGGCCAGGAACAGGAAGTAACTCTAGCTGAAAAGACCTTTTGGCCCGTCATGAAACTTCTAGGATTAACAGGATTAATCAGATAAAGAAAATTGATCATTCGCTCTGAAATGCCTATTTCAGATATCAGGTAAGGATCCAGGAAACTAACGACAGTGCATTCTCATGCGTTTATGATGCCCTCTGCTGGGATTCCAATAAACAAGCTACTGGAATCCAATATTCAACTGGTCATATCTAAAACAAAATAATCCATTTAAATCATGTTGTTAAATAGGTTTACTAATTGTTCTATAGCACATATAAGATTGTTAGGCATAGAATATAAACCCTGAGGCCTCACTGATCCAACGTTTGGTTATAGTGTCTATATAAAAGGTATTTAATCACGTTGTGACTAAAGACTATGCATTTATTTCTCTATTCTTTCTATGTAATGAAATAAAAATGTTAAAAAATAGATTCAGATTACTCAGAAGAAACTCTTTCTACATTTTCTTATTCTTTGTTCAGAAGAGACTTTCTATCTTTCCTTATTTTAGAGAAATATAAAGACTTCTATATGTTAAGAAGAAATTCATAGCTATGTTCATATGTAATTCCAGTAGCTAAACAAAGTAGATTAAACATTTGAAAGTTTTTTCATTTGTAGGTAAATACAATTTATACTCTACCTGTTTCTTTTTTGTCATAGTACTGATGGATCCCAATATCACTGTCTATATAAATGAGAGAAAATATATAATTTTAATGGTTGTGTAACATTTGGAAAAATACAACTTAAGAAATTAAACTGAACCTTTTATTTTTTTTTAATTATGTATTGCTGGAGGAAGCAACATGTTGAGGTATATAAGTAATTCCTACACCATATACGTTATATATGAAAGTGGGACTCTCAATAGCCAATAAGTAATGACTCAATGGGTATGTGTACAAGTACTTAATCTCCCTTTGAACTGTCATTTCCTTCATATCCATTATAGTTTTCCCCTCAACTGCTGATATAGAAATATGCCCTTTACCACCTTCCTAATCATCATCTCTTCATGTTCTTCCACAATGAGATGATCATTGGTAGAGGGTGTATCTGAGAATAGTCTAGAATGTCTCCTGATGACTGACATCACTGCCCTAAAGGCAACAATTATATTTTTAATACTCATGAACTTTGGCACGCTGTCTTACCAATAATTCAGCATTCCCTTTCTAGCTATGGAGCACTCTGAGTTATTGTAATGACTTTAAAGTCATAATATTTTAATGTAAATTTGCCCAAGATTACATCTCTCTCATCCTGATATTGGGAGAATGCAAATTTGGATGAATTCCTCATGAAGAGAAGAAAGAAGAAGTAATCAACTGTCAATGGACACTTGATTTTAAAATAGAATACCGTATCTGTACAAGGACTTAGAATATTAAAATAAGCTCTGATGACAGACGATAGAAGTGGTCAAAAGTGAATGATAAGTTAAGTTAGGATATAGCTCTACAATTTATCACAGTTATCTTCTCTGCAGATGTGATTTTATAAATAGCATTAATAATATACAAAACCATCTTAAGTTGGAATCCATTACCAAAAGATCTGAAAACAATGAAATATCTTTTAAAGATCTGGATCCTCCAAAGAAGCCCAATTTAAAAGGTCAGGGTTCTAATATGTAGCAGCCCCATAACATGTCTGTAAATAATTATAATTGTACCTATTTTATTTAGGCTTGCAGGTTTTTTTCTGGTCCGTCTTTTGACCAAATATTTGGTTATTACACAATGCTCTTATGGAGAGAAGAAATGCTGAGAGACAGGGAATCAGTAGTCATACATTTATGCATGTTTTTAAATATTACTAGAAGGCATCTTGTTAAAACTGTGATGGGGCTTGATATCATAATATGCATTGTGTTAATATCAAACACTTCAAAACCAGTGGTTTGTCGAGCACTGAATTTTAACATCAACAAGGTTAGAAGTATAAAGGTTTTTCCCACATGGGTGGTAATTAGTCATGTATCTCAAATGACTCCTAAAACTAGAATGATAGATTAATAAGATAAATATATTATTCTAAGTATAAAATACCGATTTTCTATTCCAAATAGCTAGAGCATGAGCAATAAAGGATTGCTACATCTAAAGTACAAATTATAATGCCTCTGCAATCAGCTCAAATACTGATATTCATTCATCCAAACTAGTCATTATAGTGAAACCTATAGTAAAGCAATGCCTGGCTGCTTTACTTAGAAGGAAAAAAATGAACCAGACTATATGTACACTTAATAGCCTTCAAAACTTACAGGGATGCTCCAATGAGATAAATAAGGAACATGACCGTGCTCAAAGATAATATCTTCATACAACTTGAAAATAAGCTTCACGTGTGTATTTAGAATTTTATATCACTCAAATATTCATTGATACGTTTTGTTATTTTGCTTCAGAAGAAGGATGGAATCTGGTCACAGTTGACTTACCCCTAATATGTAGGGTATTCTTCAAAGACCACAGGTGCATCTCAGTCAGGCAGAAAGACATTTGATGGCAGATGGAAACTCAGCCCTATCAAAGGAAGGAAAGAAACAACACGTGCAAATTAATTACCTTCCATCACCAATGAAACTGGAAATCCCTTGGAAACAAGGTGGTAAAAGACCCTGTCACTGGTGATAGTTTATATAAAAGGTGAAGTTTTCAGCATCAGCAAACTCTGTGTTATATATGAATCAGTATAATAAGAGGATGAATATTTGCTATTATGAGAAAGGATAAATCAATATCTGGGGCAGATTGACAGACAGCCTTAAGCTGGCCTCCAACTTTGTGTTTGCAGCTGTTTATGTGCACAATTATTACATTTGTGTGTGCCAACCTGCCCAGCCCTGCACAACCCTGAAGTCACTTTTTAACAGCCTAGTTTATGAATATCAGTATGTACTTTTAGGGTCTAATTCTGTAAACCCTGCACACCAGGAACTCATAGTAAGGTCAACAGAGAGTTTTGAACACAAGAGATGTGCAGGCACTCATTATTAATGTTAAATATCAATATATTTCTCAAGTGATGTCTTTCTAAATCAGAAACTTGGTGATTTATTAATTTAGTAAGTTCACCAAGGCAACTGATGCCTATCAAATAAAACTTACGTATATGAGGTGATGTTAATAAAACAATACACAAGAAAATAACCCCACACCTCAAAGACACTCCACAACTTACAGCTGAAATCCTTCAAGTGTATCTCTGCATATTCATAGTCATAAGGACTATGACTCTCCCCTTTCCTCTCAACAAGCAACAGGAATTTTCTGAACATAGTGCATGATCTACATATACCAACTGCCTTAAGCTTTTTTTTGGCTAAAACCAAGAGTCTAATGCAAGAAATCCCAAGAAGAGGAAGGATAGGTATTTGACATGAATATGTAGAGGCAACATTCAAAGAACCACAGTTAGTAAGGCAGTAACCATAATCCTTTTCATTTTCAAGCTGGGTTCTTCATTTCCCTTGTGACAGTCCAAGTAGTATTACAACCCTCAGTGGGGTGATCTAAGAAGTTGTGATGAAAGGAGGATTGTAAAACTATTCTCCCCCAAAGTGAATAACTGACATAAATGTTAAGAGAGTAGTACTCTGTAAACATGAGTACAGAAACTCAGGTAGCAGCCCTGAAGGTTTTTGTGACAGAGTCATAGAGAAATAGGACTGCAAGGGGCCTCCACTGGTCATCTTGTTCAACCCCCTGCCTGAGGTAGGATTATTGCTATTCAAACCATCCCATACAACCACAAGCTAAACCCTACATAAGACTACCACCAACCCCAACACAACATAGACCTAATACCCTAACTTGTCACAGGTAAAGTAGGGGAACTTCAGCAGCCAATGCCATCAATATACACCCAAGAGGTCCTGGGTAAAGGGCATGCCCTCCGCTACAGAGAAAGTCAAAACTTCCCACAGTCCATACCAATCTGATCATGAGATAAAATTCCTTTGTGATCCCAAATATGGTGAGTGGCAAGGCCAACTAGCCAGCGCTACCACTGCCACCCGCTCCAAGGGCAGCTCAGCCCAACCCTCTACCAGGAAAAGCCCAGCGCTGCCCTGGCCCCAGTCTGTCCTGCACACAGCTCAGGGGGCACACCCCTGCTGCATGCCCTCCAGGGGTGCACATGGCTCAATCCCGGGTTCCACCCTGCAGTGCAGCACCTGCTCTTGCCCCACTCCCTCCCTCACAGTGGGGGCCTATGGGAATGGGGCTATGGGGCGGGGGGCTGCAGCCACTCCAGAATTCGCCATAGTCCCCCCAAACCTCCTCCCAGTGACGCCACTGCCCACCCCAAATGCAGCCCAGCCCAGCCTTCTCTGGGAAGAGTCCAGTGCTGCCCCGGCTGCTGCCTGCCCCTCCCTGCTTAGATCTAGGGGCACATGCCCCCCATGCCCTCCCAGGGGTATGCGTAGTAGTGGGAGCCACCCCCGATGCCCTCCAGGTGGCTCAGTCCCATGCCCCACCCTGGCTGGGCAGCCCTTGAGCTTGCCCCAGCTCCACTCCCTCCCCGACCACTGGGGCAGCCCAGCCCGCCCCACCCTTCAAGCAGATCTGGAGGCATCCACCCCCATGCCTTCCTGAGGTGCATGCAGAGGTGAGAGCCGCCTCCCCTCCATGTGCCCCCTGAATGAGCTGCTCGCAGCTCTGTCCTGCCCCAGCTGTGCAGCGCCTGCCTCAGCCCCACTCCCTCCTGCACCGCAGAGGCCTCATTCTGCACCCCCTTAAAAACAAGAAAAAAATATAAGGGGTACAGGAGATGAAACTTTGAGTCAGAAGGGGTACACTTGGTTGAAAACCCCTGTCCTACAACTTCATTAAGATCACTGCCCACAGCTCTGAGATCTCCTCTGCCAGTTCCTTCAGGACCCTGGGATGAAGTTCATCTGGCCCTGTTGACTTGAATTCATTCAGACCCAACAAAAACTCTCTGACCTTATCTTTTGTTATTTCCTCCCTCAGTTTGTCTCCTTCCTTATCCAGATAATCCTTATTAGGTGTTTGGTGCAGCTTAATTTTTTGTGAAGACTGAAGCAAAGTAGCTGTTGAGTAGCTCTGCCTTCTTTACATCTTCAGTTAGGAGTTCTTCCTGGCTTGTTAATAGAGGATCTACAACTTCCTTGGTCCTTCTTTTCTGGCCAACATACTTATATAACCTCCTCTTGTTACCCTTTATCTCCTTTGCTAGGTGCAGTTCTTCTTTATCTTTGCCTTCCTGATTTTGTCCCTGCAGGTTCTTGCTGTTTCCTGGTTTTCCTTGCTGATCTGCCCATTCTTCCATAGCCTATATGCTTCCTTTTGCATTTAAGGCATTTTAGAAGCTCCTTGTGCAGCTTCATTGGTCTCTTTTGTCATTCTTTTTGTTCTTTCATCGCATCAAGATGGTTTCTTGGTGGGCTTCCAATACTGTTCCCCTTAGAAGCTCCCAGCCCTCCTGGGCACCTTTATCCTTCAATCTATCTTCCCACGACACCATGCTTATTAGCTCCTTGAGTTGGATGAAATCCGCCTTTTTGAAATCTAGCAGCCTAATTTTGCTGATTTCATGCTTTCCTTGTCT